TTTCATTTATTAGACAGCCATTCCATGGCTTAAGAGGGGAAGATCTGGGGCCGGAATCGGGCACTGTTCTTAATGTTGGAAGCGTCTGTCGGCCCAGAAAACGTCATGCAAAGCCCGATCCGCATTCTCCGACACTCCTCTTACAGCATCGGCTATATTGACGACTCTACGCTCGTTGTGAGATCTACAGTGCATCTCCAATATGAGTCACGGCTTTAAGCGGGGTCTCAGGCAAGTGGACTGTCGCTTAGAAACTTCTTTTGGTCGCCCGTTTGCAGAGTAAGGATGGACGGCTGAGGGCACTCCCTCAAGGCTATCGAATTTTCAAATTAACGGTCTTTTCCTGTCTGAGCGGAACAGCCGTCGTCTTGATGGCCGCAAAGATGTTCTTCATATCTCTGCGGTCTTTCAATTGGTGGTTTTTTCTGGCTTATTCAATCTTACTCAGTTTCTGCCTCGTGGGTTGTTTGCACTTGTCACGTATGACGGAGTTTTTAGAAGTGTAATCTTTCTTATAGGCTAGATAAAGTTGATTCCTTTAGGGATGGGCTTTGAATCTCCACGTCTAACCCGTCTTCGAATCACCGATATGCACTTTGGGGCATTCCCACGGCCGTAGCATACTGCCCCAACTCTTATTAATTGTCCACTCTCCTTCCATCACATTGTACAGTAGGTCCTTCCCTGAGTGACGTCTTGTAAAATTTTTCGCGGTCCACTGCTGCCGCATTCTCGGTGATTCGATCAATAATTTTAGTACTGAGGTGAGTGAACCGCGGTCGGTCTAGTCTTCAGCGCCGCACATCATTCTTTTTACCAGCCCATTCTGGAGTGTTTCTCCGGCGAACACTAAGTCTATTATTTGTTTGTCAATTATGTGAACCAGAGTGCATCGGCTCTGTCCTCTCGCACTTAGGTGATGGAGGAGGGGCAGGGCGCGTAAGAAGGAAGTTCTGTTCTACGGAGTCCTTAAGCAGGAGAATGCCTTTGTTGTAGTAGCGAACTCCCTAATGCATAATCACCCTCCCAGATTGCATGGTCTTTGCTTCTGAATCGAAATCTCCAAAAGTAATGTTCTTCGATCATCAGCATGGACAAAGTAAAGGAGTATAAATCGTCCTTTAACTTTCACCTCACGGAACCACAGTTGGTTATCATCGGCGTACGTACTGATGTTTTTGGCGCACTCCTCCAGAAAGTGGGCACGGACAGCCTTCAGTTGATCTTTGATTCCTTTGTGCAGGCAGTAAGCTGCTTTACGACCTCTCCTAGTTGCCTGAACTTCACAGCTTTTCTTTTTAGCAGTCATCTTAGAAGAGCTTGTATATGGGCCTAGTTTATTTCAGTTATCCCTATTCGGAAAGCGGCTCCCACTTGTGGCTCTGATGTCCGTCGTCCAAAGAGAGACCGTCGGGTTGGAGTTGATTATTTAAAACATGCGGACATTCCGCACATCCACATGAACGCAGTGGGTTGATAATGGATATTCGTGTTTCGTTCTTTCCGATTGATTGGAACTGTCTGTTGCTGACGGGTTAGTTGACCGAGTTTGGTAAGTGGGGATGTGGTTGGGGTACGTTATCACGCACCCCCAAACCTCTGGTGTGCAAGTTGTGTGCCTCTTTATAGCCACCGGTTGGTTGCCGAATTATATGACTTCTTGCTGAGTAGTGAGAAAATGTTCAAAAAACTGACAACAATTAGCTTGTGTAGCCTGTGGTAGGCTAATTGACCGCCAATGTGAGAAATAGATGTTTGATGTGACTGAGGTTGCCAAAAGCCGTTTTGGGTAGAATGACTTTCAAGTGAGTCGATTGTTGAACCGGATCGAGATGACATCATCATCATCATCATCATCATCATCATCATCATCATCATCATCATCATCATCATCATCATCATCATCATCATCATCATCATCATCATCATCATCATCATCATCATCATCATCGCAGACCTCTATCTGCGAATGTCTCTGATGATGGATTCGAGTGAGAATCCGAAACGTCAGGCAAATAAACTTCTTGTTCCAGTGATCGCATCTTCATCTTCTGATCATCATCATCATCATCATCATCATCATCATCATCATCATCATCATCATCATCATCGTCGTCGTCGTCATCATCATCATCACCGTCATCGTCGTCGTCGTCATCATCATCATCATCTAACCAAGCACACACGTTTTCGATGAATGCGAGGACTGGTAGTTGTAGTAGGTGTGTGTCGTTGTATCAACCGCTTCCTGTAAATAGTTCGCCCCATATGCGTCCGCAACCTTCGTCTTCTGTTGTCTCTGGTGATGAGCCCAAGAGCAAATCCGAAATGTCCGGCGAGTAAAAATATATTTCCACGGTCTATTCGCCTTTGTCGGATATTGTGGTTTCTGGCCCACCCGCTTGCAACTTTTGTATTAGAACGCACTACTACAGTTATGGCTAGTTTCTGAGCACATCTGACCGTCCAGTCATTTCTCAACAACTCTTCACAAGACTTGCTTGTAATAGTTCTCTTTATCGGCACGATTTCTCGTGGAAAGTTCTGCTGATATTGGCGGACGGTGTTTACCGTTTATAACTATCAATATTAACCGCTCTCCAAAGCCCATACTTTTGGAGCATTGCGGTGAACGAGTTTGCATCTGGTAGGAAGGGGCCAGGTTAATAGGCTGACTGGAGAAAGCTGGTGGACGATTTGTTGAGTTAAAGGTCGACGGCAAATTCGTTTGTAGTGTTGGTGTTTATTGGTTCGATCGGGCAAATACCCCTGGTGATATGGGACAAAATATCGGATATTTGGAAGGGCCCATGGGTACCACTCTGCTGGATTGTGTCGAAACCATGACCTGGATTCTATGGGCTGAGATTCTTTGATGAAGTCCATCTCAACACATGACAAGGCGTCAGCAACCTCGTTCCCCTACCCACGTACACGATAAGTGACAGAAAAAAACACCGGAATGAAGTCGAGCGAGAATTTCGGGACGATTGAACTCAGACACGCCTGGCAGTTGTGGTTCTATCACGTCGGGTTCATCAGTGTCAAGAGTAGACCCTAGTCACTGTGACATTCAGGCCCTATCCCGGATAAAAAAGTTGTTGAACGCCGGTAGATAGAGAATTTCATTCTCTATAGAATGACTGGAGAACAGCTTGGAGCAAGCTGGCAGCCGCACAAGAGGCGCGGCTCCGGTCCGCAGAAGCAGGCGTCACGTGTGTCATTGGGGCCGGCCTCAGAACGCCTTGAACGAGGGCATGTCTGAGTCGGCCCCGAAGTTGATTGGACGGTTTGGATAGCTGTGATTGGTCGAGAAGCAGACAACCACTGGTACGCCCGTGCAAGTACGCGCGAGAGGCGCAGCAATTTAACAGGCTCCCGGAGTAGGGGCTCTACAACTTTTTCTGGCTATTCCGAATTTTCCACATATCGTGAAAATTAGGCTAAAATACCGTTTTTACGTTCAAATATCCAGTTGGGTTAACTTATTGTCAGACCTCTTCCCCTTCCAAAATACCTGTTAGGTTTCCGGTTGTGGAAATTTGGCGAAAATCGGGTTCTATGTACGGGAACACTGAAAGTGGCCAAAATAACGGGTAACGATGTGCGAAAACGATCATTTCGTGTGTGCGTCGTCTATTTGTTTAACATAAATCCCTAGGCGAGCTGCGCGGTGCGTTTCTAAGGTAATCTACGCCAACGCCGAACTACTCTCGCATGCAATAAATGACTGTCACTGACTGCATGTCCTGCCCACCGAAATGCGATTGTGCGCGCGCAACAAATAATCATAACCACATATAAGTCGTGCGCATTTCCTACTACTTATCCTGCTGAAGTAGCAAGCAGCATTTGGTTGTTTGTTACTCAGTTGACACCCAACCAGAACGGGGACTGAAGATGCGCAACACGTCATGGGGTCCTGGATCAGTAGACAGGCAAGATAGGGGTTTGGACTACGACTAGTGATACAGTCGCCTGGCACCAACTCCGGACCCAAGCCTAATCACAATCCATAAGCCGTTTCTGTCTTTCGAGCTCTGTCATGTTCGACATGACTAACTAAGTATCCCAAGCTACCTTGCCAAATTAATTATCAAGGCAAATAAAACGTGCAATTTTTAGGAATTTTCCGCCACAACCTCCTTACATCCGCTATACTTTTGTCCACTCACGCAGACAGTGCTCGGGTTCTGAATTCGTTGATCTGTATACCGTTTTTTCAGTTGTCTGAGTATCAGGCATTAGAGAACAAGCTTCGCGCCACCCTGGACAGTCTCGCCCTTCGAGAGAAAGATTTGTCCTTCGGTGAGGCAGAACTCGAGCGAGCTCGCGCTGAGGCTCAGAGGGATTTGCAACTTCGTCAAAGAGAACTCTCTGCCAATACGAAACGTCAACTCAAGGAAATGGAACATGAACTCTCCCTTGAGAGGTCGAGATATGAAAATCTGCAGGCTCAGGTGGGGTGTAGTTTTTCGCCTCAACATTTTTACGCTATTTCCTCAACCACAGAACTGTAAGGTTTCTCATCTAGATTTAAAATCAGTTACTTCGGGTCCGCAGTGGCTACAGAGGACTTGCTTAATTTGAGAAATAAGAAGGGCTCACCGGAACAGGTTTTTCGAATGCTGACGTTTGGACGAGTTTGGTCGGCTCACCATCGTCAAAGCGTAAAATTCACTTTTTATGAGTTAAGTGAGGGACTGCTAATTAGTAGCGCTATGGCAAGCCGAACATTCTTTTACCTAAAACAACCCATTGGGGTCCCATGACTGTGATTTTGGATTGTCTAATTAGAAAGCATATAAGTCGTTAACGAAAGACTAGAATGAGCAATTCGACACAAGCATGTTACCTTAGTGCCTACCCTACGTACAGTAGATGTGCTAACTCATGAGATGTCAACCAAAATTTCGAAATGCGTTCTCGTTTCGAAAAGATAAATTAAGCAATGTTGTAAAACTAATCATGATGAGGCATAAACCTATAATGATCCAGTTACCTCAGGGTGTCGGCTTTGGAAAGAACTTATTTTCGGCTGCATGGAAGATGTATACTCAGCAAAAAATGACTACTTAAGTAGCATGCAATTTTCTGATTGATTTTCGATGCCCTTGAAAATTTAATTATATTTCATGGAAAACATGCATAAAAATATTCATTCTTTTACTTATTCGGTAGAAAATCACATCTTCCAATTTCATACTCAAAAGAAGAGTATAATTCGGTTTTAAAAAAACTTTTCTAATTCCCGAATAATTGTGAACCCGACCTGCTGTTACACTTGCATTCAGGGTTTCAAAACTACAAGCTGTATATTTTCCGTGTATGGAAAACCATGCATTTCTCTACGGTGTTAAGAGGAGACCATATGAAGTTCATAAAATTAAGCAGTGGATTTGAGCAATATTGTTAACTTTACAAGCCACATTCGTAAATGCAGGTACATGACGTTTCATGAACGGTCATTTAACGGTAGTAAAAAATCTTCCAATTAGAAACTTTTAAAACCGAATTATACTCTTTTTGAGTATGAAATCGGAAAAAGACGTGATTTTCTACCGAATAAGTAAAAGAATGAATATTTTTATGCATTTTTTCCATGAAATATAATTAAATTTTCAAGGGCATCGAAAATCAATCAGAAAATTGCATGCTACTTAAGTAGTCATTTTTTGCAGAGTATACATCTTGCATGCAGCCGAAAATAAGTTCTTTCCAAAGCTGACACCCTGAGGTAACTGGATCATTATAGATTTGTGCTGCATCATGATTAGTTTTACAACATTGCTTAATGTATCTTTTCGAAACGAGAACGCATTTCGAAATTTTGGTTGACATCTCATGAGTAAGTGCACAAGTTAATATTAGCTCGGGTGGGGCGTGGAGGGTGGGTCAGATGTATGGCCGCTACGGCTTTGTGTGCTTGTCAAGGGAACGCACACGCCGAGGAATGTCTCACCTTCATAGTTTAATGGAATTGTGTGATTGGTATAGTCGTCGCGACCCACGGTGTCCGGACCAATCTAAACAACTGGCGATCGAAGGGTACCAAACACGTTGGCTTCATAAACTCTTTTGAAAAATATACCACTAGGCCAATGGCTGCTGCAAATTTTACAGCAGTAAAAAAAGTTGGACGAAAGGCGCAGAATCAGGTATAGAGATACAAGAATAGGAGGGTACCTATATTGCTTCTTTCTATAATGTTGGTGTAATGCGATCGAAAATTTTTCTGTCGGGCCAGATGAGACAGCTCGTTTGACCTATTTGTCTTTCGCACTTATGACCCGAGACGATAGGAACCTAGCCAAAACGGAGCTCGCCTGTTTTTCTAGTCACGATCAACCTGGCGCGTCCACGAGTAACATATCGTAGAACAGCCTCTAACGAATAATACCTGCGTAATATGCAAAATGCAGTCTGGCAAATAACCACCCCCTTGGTCATACGACGTCATTACCTTAATTCGCAGTCTGCTGTCGACCTGGAAAATCGGTCGCTGATAAAACTATCATAAGTCGTTATATTGCTGAGTGATGAATGTTGACTGCCGCCCAGTAAGGCTTCACCTGCTGTCCGACGCAGTCCCGCAACCCTAATTCTGCGTACCAAACGATTCAATAGAGACGCCCGCCTTCCAACCCAAGAACTACAGGAAACCGTGGGTTCATCAAGCTGCTGCCTGTCCACAATCGCTGCTTGGTGAGCCGAGACCTAGCCGCGCTTTTTGCAGCCCGACGAGCTATGCTTTGCTTTCTGTCTTTGCGCTTGTTCAGGGCAAACGGTTGCAAGGGGGCACGTTGTTGCTGGGCAACAACAGTGCCGACATTTGTAACCAAATTGCGCCAATTTTGGTGCGAAAACCTTCATTGACAAATTCCGTGTTGAGTGTATTTACTTCACTCTGCCATCGTTACATGTGGACCAAACGCGGTTACTAAGATTGGCCCTCCCCTCCGATAACTAACTTAACTCTACTGGAGCGGGGTCCGGAAGCTCCCATTTAAACGCTGCGTTGAATTTGGTCCACTGATGCTTTTTATGTAAACAGTATAAGCCCTGAACTAACGAATTAGTGGCAAGAATGAAGGGCTTTTTACTCTATGAAAAAGGCGGTGAGTGCAGCTACTTCTTTTTCATATTGCCAATATAGCTTTGACTAATTTTGTGTAGGTATTTGTTTGTTTTATCAAGAAGGCCGTGTGCTGGTGCGCTTCGCTTTGCAGCGAAACCGATGTGTTCAAGGAGTCGGGCAGCTCCTCACCATGCTCTGGATGGCCAACGCGTTCGGCCTTCCGTGCTCATTTGGTCATAGCTCCAATTCCTTCGCTAATTTGGCAGTTCAGAACAGTGGATAATGACGCCATGTTTATCGGAAGTCTCTTTAACCAACCATACCATGATCTAGAGACTTTCTGTAGTGTTTAACAAACGGCCGTGTACGTAGTCAGTCAGCTCGATAGCCTTCATGCCCGTTGGGTGTCTGCGCCATGTGCTACTGCCTGCAGTGTCTGTTACCTCGAAGTCAATATACTCAAACTGATAAGGAATTATGTCTTGCGCCTCACCCTATCTAGTCCATTGGTAACTGCGAAGATTGTTTCTGGG